TACCCAAACTGGTATACCATGACAAATTTACCCTCCGTTAGTTTCCGTTAAATTTTACTGTCAAATTGCCGAGTTATATGACACGTGACAGTTGACGGATGTATTAATTTGGGGTTTTACCCCTATGTTTGTCACATGTTAACTAATTTATGATTTTTTGTGGTATTACTCCAATTTAACAGATGGTAAATTTGTCACAAGTGTACTAATTTGGAGTTTTTTGTGGTAAAAAAATTAGTTCGGGGTAAATTTGTCACAGGTGTACGAGTTTTGGATTTTCGATCGTATTAACCCTAAACAAAATAATACTTGAATTATTAATTAAGGTAAATAAATTGTTTACAAAATATGAAAAAACTGTACACATGTAGAAAGAGAAAAGTAATTAGAGAATTGAATATTTTTGGATAAGATTGTCTATACAAAAGTTTAAGCTATTAGACGTCTGCGTAATATAATATAAATATTCTAATAATCCCCTCACACATAGGCTGGACGACCTTACTCTTTGATACTATGTAAAATTTGTGGTATCATTATCAATTGTTTTTTCAACCTCGAAATTTGACCCAAAATTTTCCAATGATGTACATGGTTGATATGAATGTATAATAACAACATAGCATTTGTTCGAAACAAACGCGGAAAAACAAATACAGAACATAAGAATTTACGTGGTTCGATCACATTGGTCCATTGATAGAATTTTACAAGATTCAACTATAATAAAGAGTATTCCGTGGAAGTCAAAAAAAATAAAAAATCCTGTCAATCTCTCCTAAAAGTAGAAAATCCTCTCATGAAAAATTTTGTGTAAATAGGGCTCATATTTCAGCGTAATAAACATTTGTACAACTTTTCTTTAGCTTATTTATCAATATCCCAATATAATAAAGCAAACCCAAAATCACTTTCAACCTCGAAATTTGACCCAAAATTTTCCAGTGATGTACAATGTTGATATGAATGTATAATAACAACATAGCATTAAACAAATAATTTCAAAGAATCAACAGAATAAATTATCCCATAAACATCTTATGAAGTTTATAAATTTGCATAAAATCTTTCCCATCATTCAACAATTTGAATTTGTTTCCTAAAGTAGTCCAAACCATACTCTCTCTACTTCTCTTAATTTGTTTTAGCAATTTTTGCCTACACATTTTTTTCGTCTCACCCCTCTCTTTTATATACATACGTGTGCGTTACTCATGAATATATAGAGCATTTAGAATCCGTTATCGAATGATGTGAGACAATGCTTCAATATCCTATTATGATGTCTTCTAACCCTCTCTCCCCCTAATTAATTGCATCACATGCATTTTCCAAAGAGCATGGAATTTGGATAATCAATAAACCATGTGCTCATTATCCAACAAAATAGAATCAACTGACCGCTGCATCTGGTTTTTTTTCCCCGACAACTATGATTAACTCCTATGCTTAAAGAGGTAGGAAGTAGCCACCGGCGACTTTGACTCAAGGCTTCCAACCAGGAAAGGCCGGTATCTTCTTAATAGCTAAACCTGCCGGTCCAAGTAAACAAAATAAAAAAAATCAAACTTAGGAACAAGAAATTATTAAGTCAAGATGCTAAAAGACATCATCAATTTGCATGATTAATTTTATGGCTTCATCAACGATATTTATCTAAAACTATCCAATCACCATCGGGTTTCTGGACATGGATCACTTGCCCTTTTGTTTTGTGTGACCAAATCCAAGTTGAAATGTGGACTGTTAGCTCAAGTCAAAATGACTTTATTCAGCATGTGATGCATTGAATCTCTTTCCTTTTTGTTCTTATCCTTTTGGGTTTGTCCGGAAGAAGAAGAGGAATCAACGGGAAATCACAAACGTCACTGTTGATTTTATACATATTGATATTGATGATGAAGCTGCATGATCCACCCTTTTTGTGTTTTGCCTCCAACATTGGCTAACTTTCCCTAGCTAATCCTTGGCATGTACCATTAGCAAAGAGTATTTTTCAGGAGAGTTGTTATGCTGCCTTTCGTCATCCTGTCTTTTGTTCATGGGAAGCTCCTAAACTAACAAAACAAGAGATTACCAAGTCGTTTTTCAAGATGTCATAAAACTATGGGCAGGGCAGGGCGGGGCGAGGCTGGGGTATGTTCTCGGCCCGCTTCGACCCCCAATACTCAGTCCGAACCGCCCAACACAACGGCACGGGTGCTCCCGTGAAATTCAGCACGTTAAAGCTAAATTCTTAAAAATGACATTACATTTAACATGCTAAAAATATTGAAAAGATGTCTAAAGTTAAAGAAAAAAAATTTCCCAAGGGAATTCTTGAACTTTGAAACGATTTTGACAAATAAATGCCTCACAAGGCATTAGCCCTCCCCTACCCCACGAATCCGTCCCACGTACACTTTAAGGAAAAAATAAATATATTTTTTTCTTTATATTGTCTATAATATTTTTTATGAAAGTACGAAATAATGATAAGAGTAAAAAATCGTAAGAGCAATCTCTTTTCTTAAAAGCCTTGCTTTTATAAATGATGCAAGCTTGGAAATTCCTCTAGGTAAATAATGTAGGGCGATTATTTCCCATGTGCTTGATCTTCACAATGTCCGACGTTGACTAATTTGTAAAGGTTAGATAGTTCTCTTTGAGGCAAAGGAATGATCATACGGCGGTGTACCGCAAAACCATCAGCATCACCAAACGAGATGAGTATTGTCAACACGTTTGTAAATCTAATAGCTGATCATACAATCTCTGGCCCATAAGGTCCTTAGTTCAAACCTTACCATGCCCTATTTGCCTCCCCAATTAAATACGTACGCTTTTAGTACTAGACAAAAAGGCCAAACTAGACGTAAAGAGGAGTGATGGAATAATTAAATATTAGAACATGCCTTCATCTAATAGTTTAAGCTTTTAAAATAGTAGACAGTGATCACACAAAATCTCACATGGTATTAGAGCAAAAGGTCTCGAGTTCAAATCTTAAAGGCCCTTATTTGCGTCTCCAATTACATAATTCCACGCTTTAGGCTCAGGCCAAAGTCCAGCCTACGCGTGAGGAATAGTGTATTCGTCTAACAGTTTAAGCTTTTAAAATAGTTGGCAATATGATCCCACAAAATCTCACATCATCATCCCAAAAATGTCTGGACATAAATTGTTATCGATAAATAAAAATATTTTTCATTGAATAATTATTTCAGACGATACGGGCGACTATTTTTAGGATAATGTTTTCCAAAACAATGGAGCCTGAGATTTGCAAAATTGTCCATACGTCGTGGTTGCATGTTCATTGCCAAACTGTTGAGAATAGTCACATGGGTCTCGGCAAACTGGTGGAAGGTTAGCTCAAAAGCTCCCAACTAATTTTGGCATGCGGAGTATCGTTTTTTTATAATCAGAATAGTCAAAGGCCAAGGCTTAATAAGGAGGGAGGCGGCTAGCAACATCTTTTTCAAGATCCTCCATGGTTAACGGTTCTCCATGGACTCCATCTAACGTCACTCATATCTTACCGGCGACCGGCTAAATGAAGAGGGAAAGAAAAAAAATGAATGAAAAAAAAAGAAAATAAATAAATTCGAAAAAATTATTTAAAGATGTCTACGTCAGCACCGGCCGTGTCATGTAGAACGGCCGGAGTCCATGTCAGTGATTTCCGGCCAAAATTGGCCGAATGAACTGAATTGGTACTAATGTAAAATGTTTATGACTCGATTGGTAAAAAAAAAAAGTTTATGATTGAATTAGCACAATTATAATAGATTTATGATTTTTTTAGTAATTTTCATATATCTTACCCTACCTACCCTCTCTCAAACAACGACCATCTATTCAGCATTTGAAACATCAACTCATGCTTTCATTTGACAAACATTAAATAAATGGCATAAGTTAGATTGATTCTCTATAGCTTGTGGTACCATGTTTCAATGTGCTCACGGGGTATAAACAACCGGTCATATATGCACGATTTCTATGATCTTTACCAAGAGATGGTAATAAATATATTGAATGGACACCAGTGATACTTCATTGCTTTTGTACATCAACTTGGCACGACATGGGATATAAATTACTATGTTTCTCTCTCTCTCTCTCTCTCTCTCTCTCTCTCTCTCTCTCTCTCTCTCTCTCTCTCTCTCTCTCTCTCCAATGATACTTCATTGCTTTTGTACATCAACTTGGCACGTCATAGGATATAAATTACTATGATATTCTCTCTCTCTCTCTCTCTCTCAATATACATACATATATATAATATAAACATGTAAAAATTAAGTTAATAAAGAATAAAATAGTACGTAAAATTTTGTGATTTATCTTTTAATACGATTTCAATTTTTGTGAAGAGAAATAGGAGAGATCTTTATATACTTGACAAGTATTATGATGCTTAAACTCCGTTTGTTTTACAGAAAATGAATGATTTGAAAATATTTTCCTAAAAATGATCATTTATATCGCTTGAAATAATTAGTTAATGAAATTTTCTTTCATTATCGATAAAAATTTATGTCTAAACATTTTCGTGAGCGATGATACTATTCTAATTTCGTTTAGATTTATAGGCAATACAAATGATCTTTTTTAGGTCCAAATCATTAATTTTTCGCGAAATAAAGGGACCCTTAGAGTGGAAGATTCATTGATCACTTGCGAAGCATCTTCATTATCGTAAATTATGATTTTGCCTATTTATAATTTTGTGTAGCTAGAGGGTATTTTAAACATCTGCATGCGCTTTTCATATCATTTTTATAAAAAAATGAAAAGCTGTGGTTGGAAGTGACTATTGTCTCTGCGTAATTTAGACAAATTCTCAAGGTCATGCTAATTTATTATTTATGGACTAAAGTAAAAAATAAACGTGAGTAGACTTACGCCTTCCCTTGACTTATTAAATATGGTCATCTCCAATCCCATCGAATTTTTTATGATTTTAGTACATCACGTACTCTGATAGGTCAGCTGAATCACCTTCTCTCGTTAATACCCCCCGAATAAGTCTGAAATCTTCTTGGATCTCAGTCTTTTCTTCTTCAGTCTCTTCCCTTTCCCTCCCATCTGAGCAATAAACATCAACCAGGCATTCTCTCTGCCCCACAACCATGAGGCTCGCATTCTTCATGCTTCTGGTCATACTGACCCGTTCGGCAAACAGCCGGTCCATCCGAGGAGGTTCCGATCCGATTTCCGACGGAACGGCTCGGACCAACGGGACATCCTCGGTCCTCGGCCTCGCCACAACGACCGTGACGTGCGAGCCAACTTACGGGTTCTTGCCGTGCACGACGGAGCTGTGGGGCGAGCTGTTCCTCATCGTGGTGTACGAGTACTTGCTGGCTCTTGCGGGCAAGTACTTGTCGTCGGGGTCGGAGCTCTTCTTTCGCATGTTTGGGACTGGAATCTTTGGGGCCTCTTTGTTCCAAATGCTTGGGACCTTCCCTCAAGTCATCATAATGCTTGGTAAGAAACCCTTAATCCTTGTCCTCTTTTGCTTCTAATCTTGACCTTACTTCTCTTGCTTTGATCCAATGTTTCCCATCATCCACTGGCTGTTCTGTATTGATAGGGCCATAGAGCATTAGAGAATTTTCCATTTTTATCTTCAGTTTGCGTTTCGAGCGGAATTATGAAACCGCGGTTAGAAAACATGGTCAAGAAAGAAAAATGTCCTTGCAATGGTTTTGTCCTTATTTTCCAACCAAAACGAGAATCAAACTTACAAAGCAGCAATCCCCATATTGTACTTTGAACAATGTAGCGGATGTACTTGAAAATGGAAGTTTGAAGAAGGAAAAGGGTTCTGACAGGCTCCCTTCAAAAACCAAAGAGACACTTGTACCTCTAAGCTTTTTGTTCTTTATACATTAATGAGGTAAACTATTCTAATTATAACGTATATTTCCTCTTTTCTACGCAAGGTGATGCTTTGATCATTAAATACTTAAATACCATAACTTAAATACACATTTGCATGTCTAAATCACACGTCACATCTTCAAATCTCACTCTAAAGTGGACCTTTTCAAAGCAATTTAAGGCACGCGTTGGTTTGCGATGGAATCTCTTAAAAGAGATCACCAACTTTCCAAGATATATTTTCTCTCCTTGATATATGGGGAGGTTCAAACGTCAATTTCTCCGGTTCTGACCATTCAAGAGGGACTACATAATCTTCAAATTTACTTATCAGGCTCTGATTTCGTCAAATTATTAATCTTTGGTTCCGTGTTCCGGTTGGCGGTGAGCAAGTTGAGGGTATTCTCTAGTGTTTTTTAGTATTTTTTAATTCCTCATCCGTCGGTCCAAGAACGTGCTTCACACTATAGTCCTACGCTCCTACCCAAATCCCAGTCAAGCACTGGTGATACCTAATTTAGATCTGGCGTTCGTCTAACACTTTAATTTGCTGTCGACTATCTTCATACTTTATTTTTACCATTCTTGGCTTCGTCACCCTCTACATCTACTAGAAATTGTTGGATAAATTGAATTCTTATACTCCATGTATCCATATCGATGGTTAAATTCAATCGATAGGTCCATGCTAAATCATGTTAGATTGAACGATTTCGATGATGTAGATAAATTATGGGCCTGGAAACAATATAAACAGAATCAGAATTGGAAAAGGAAGAAAGAAAAAGAATCGCTCCAAGTCTAGGGTGTCGAAAAAGATATGTTTAAAACAATCGCCTAAATTGTCAACCTGCTCGGCTAAGACCATCGAATCCGCCGCAAAAGGTGGTGAGAGAGGCTTGTCTGCAGACAAAACAACATGGACCTAGACTAAACGACAAAAATCACAAGCGAATCTCATTAACTGGAACTTTTGCAAGTTGCAGTGATTTGTAAATCCGAAACTTATTTATTTTTCCAGTATGATAAATCCTGGGGAGTCACAATGACCACAAAGTCGTCGCGCGTGAACATTTGCTGTGTACTGCTTAATTTGCTGGTGTTTGCTAGGGACTGATCGGGATACAGATCCATTGATGTCGGACTTCATTGACGATCATGACCATCTAACACAAGTAATCGTTAGCTTACTTAGTGGCCTCGATAAGGATTCGTGAATTTCGAAGCTCATCGTTCGCAAAGTTCGCAAGTTTTGCCTCGATGAAACGGAAAAAAGTCTGTCTAGTATGTATCCGTAACATCACCTGGTAGCAATGACCATATGAATCATTCATGCTGATGATCTTGTGTTACTATAAGAAGGCATGTTAATGAGGATAGGATCTTATAAATTTATAGAGTAATTTCCCATGCATGCATGCCCTTCATTGACTCTATGAACACTCTTAAGTATATGTCTATGACTAATTCAATATCTTATGATTGTGAATTATCTTCTATACACATGTATAGTGAGTGCATTATCATCCAGCTCGGATACAATTGAGTCGATGGCGACAATGATGATGGCCATGCTCGCTGGGTCGGCAATCTTCAGTCTCTCGCTGGTTTGGGGCTCCGTCATCGCTTTTGGTAGTCGTGATTTTTCCAGCTCTTCATCATCTTCGACATCGGCCAATCAATCCACCAAAAAGTCGATTAGCCTAACAGGTTCTCTTCTTCGATATCATCTGTCCTTGTAATATGTTTGAAGATCAGAGTTCTTCTTGCATGCAAGTTAAATCCCATGACAATAGAGCCATGTGCTAAGTATAATTAGCTAGCAAGTATATATACAATATATCAATCCCAAACTTTAAATCCCCACATAAAAAAAAATTTGCGTGGTTTTCTTTTGATACATGTGATATGAACACTTTACATTAGTGATAATTTGATGTTTTACCTTTTTTAATTCATACTGATTTTGTAGGTTCGGGTGTTGAAACCGACACAGAGACTAAGCACATAGCCAGAATCATGTTTGTTTCCATGATTCCATTTCTCATTCTTCAATTGGCAAAAATCATTAATTCCACTACCGGGACACGAATAGTGGTCTTGATCAGTCTCATAATTACGCTCATCTTCCTCATCACTTACTGCACTTATCAGGTAAATTGAAAATTCTGTGCTCTATTTAGATTCCTAGCTAGTCATTTCATGGCTAAATCTTGGTATATATCTCTAGAATATGGTTTAATGTAATTAAGTTTGTGCTGAAAAAAGACATCTTGATGCAGGTATTTCAGCCATGGATTCAAACGAAGAGGCTTGAATATATCACGCGATTATATGCAGGAGAGAGCATACTACAGAGTCTTCTTACCATCGATGGCAAGCCGAGTGAAATTCATATCAAAGAGTAATTCATCTTCGTTTTCTTCTCTTTTATAGTGCAAACATTGAAATTGCTGGAATTTCACTTGCTATTTCATCAACTTCTTTTGAAAAAATCGCTCAAATATGTACTTTGCAGCCTCTTTCAAAAGATCGACCAGAACAACAACTTGCAGGTATCGAAAACCGAACTGTATGCATTCATGCTGGGAATACAGATCGAAGAGGCCGGTTTGAGCACGGATGATTTCACTGACGCCGTGATGAAGCAGTTCGACATATCCCTTGATGCAGCAATAAGCGAATCTGAGTTCGTGCAAGGGATTTCCAAATGGTTGGATGAGGACACGATTTGGACAACTATTGGTCTTGCTCAAGGTCAGTCGTCATCATCGGCATCTTCGAAAAAGACGAGTAACAAATCGCAGGTACGGCACAAATTTCATTTTCGGAAACTTTAGTTGCTTCCGAGGTGTAATTATAAAACGAAGGTCTTTCTAGTGTTGCCCAACAGAACTAGTTTTGTGCCTGGATAACATTACTGGCCATTCTATTTGTAACTGAACATTTCCATGATTCACATGAATTTGCAGGGGACATCAGATGAGCAAGCGAGCTTGCTATCTCAAGACAGCACAAGCAAACCCACAAGCAAATTAGCTGTCTGGTGGAACTACACAAAAGCCGGTTTCTTGATAATCCTAGGAACCGGCGTGATGATGCTGATCGGACAACCCCTCATGGAAAGCATCGAAGAATTCGCAACCGCCGCGGATATCCCCTCGTTCTTCGTCTCCTACATACTGATCCCCTTGGCCATGAGCTACCGGCAAATTCTCGGAGCAATTAGTTCTGCGAAAAAGAAGACGCAGAAGGACATTTCCGGGGCATTCACAGAGGTACATGAATACTTCCGCTTCTTCCTCGATATTCTATCTTCCGAGTAGGTCATGGGCCTGCGCAATTGAGTCTCTGAACCTATTTATCTTATGAATTCCTGGTTGTCTTTTTGAAGTGATTCTAATTTAGTCAAATGATTCTGTTACCATAAAAAAAAAAGGATTTTTCCCACCCCGGTAGAAATCTCAAAACTGGGTAAACGCCAAAAAGCTGCTGGTAAAACAAAAAATTATCACTCACCTGATTTTCTTCGTAACTTATTGGTAATTCCGATACTTTTATGAAATTATTAACTCATTTTGAAGATTTGCAAATTACCAACTTTATTCTTTATCTTTTACCCACTTTTATAATTACCAACGCCTTAAATTAACGAACTCATATAGGAATTCACTAATCTTCATTTGAGTGACATATAGACATTTCTCCGATTTAATTACCGGCTAATTTTGGGTTACCACATATCATTTGAGTTACTTACAGACGTTTATTTAGATTTTTTCAAATTTATCAATTTTTGTTATCATTTACCAACATCTATTTTCCTTCACACTCATTAAGTTCGTCCACTTTTATATGAATATACCAACATTTATTTGTGTGATTTACAATTTTTCTCTTATTAGATTACCGGCAAATCAGTGTTGGTGTTCCAATCTAGTTTGGGTTGCAACTGTTTATGTTTTTTCTTTAAAAAGAAGGTTACCAACTTTTTTATTAACCAAGTTTTATTTGTCTTGCTTACGGATCCGTTAAATTTACCAACTAACAAAATCAGCGGAGAAAATCTCTATCAGAATAACCACCCTAGGTTTTTTTCAATTGAAGAGTCTTGGAGCTAGACCCCAGTAAATTTTCCCAATCCATATGTACCTATTTTCACATTTCTTCATGTGTTTTTTAAAGGAAAACCTAGGAGTAGATGAATTTTGCATAATATAAGTAACGTGCTTATCAAAAAGTGCAATTGAGACTTAAGACTTTTTCAAAAGTGCAATCAAGTCCTAAAACTTGTCAAATTAATCCAATCAAATCCTTCCGTTGATTGTACTTTTCGAAATTCCAATGCACTTATCCCTTTAATCTTTTCTCAACATTTTCTCCATCAATCTTCACAGGAATGCGATGGTACAGAGTCCCTTTTTCTTGTCTCCTCATCAAAAAGTACTTTCGCATTGCAGGTTTACAATGGGGTGTTCATGAACAACGTGATGGGACTAGCCATATTCTTGGCCCTCGTATACATCAAGGACATAACGTGGGACGTCTCGGCCGAAGTCCTGGTCGTGCTTCTGATCTGCACTTTCATGGGGGTCATCACAAGCGCCTGCACCAAGTTTCAGTTCTGGACGTGTATTCTCGCATATGCTCTCTACCCACTGTCTCTTCTGTTTCTTTACATTCTCACCAGTGTTTTAGGCTGGTCTTAGGTCTATTTTCGCCTCATCGTGAAACGATATATACATATAGCAAGAATAATTTCTCCGTCGCGCAAATGTAATCCGATTTATGTACGAGGGTGGAGATGATGAGGTCTATTAAGTATCGGCTCCTTAAACTTTGTCGGAAATTTTCCAAGGCAGTGAGTTTCAAGGAAAATGATTTGAGTTTCTTGTATTCGATTGTCCTTTGCGAGGATAGAAGTCGTTTTCTTATACTTATCTAAGAAAAACTTGCTAGAAGATGAGTGCCATGTACCGGTGATTTTGCTTGCTGAGGTGCTCCAGCGCTGCCAGGATATGGTACTTTTAATGTGGTATGGCACTTGTGTTTCTAGTCGAAGCTTGTGCTGATTACATGACTTAGCTATGCATGAGGGAGACCGTAAGGTCAGACTTGTTTGTTTCACGGAAAAATATAATATAGTCGTATACATTTTCAAAAGCAACGATTTTCAAGGAAAGTTGTCATATTTTCTTGGGTTTAGTTGTCCTTTGCAAAGATAGAAGTTATTTGATGATACTTGTCACGGGAAAATTATCAAAAAAAGTCATAAACCTTATTATACGGCAGCCAATTCAGTCTTAAACCTTACAATTATGTCAATTTAGTCTTCAACCTTTTGAAAACATGCCAATTTAGTCCTAAACCTTTCAATTGTGCTAATTTAATCCTAAATCTTTTGATGATTCGCCAATTTAGTCCTTCCTGCAAAAATTGGCTAGAAATCGCTAATGTGGTGGTGAAGTCAGTGTCGGGTGTTCTACAATGTACAGCCGACGCTAACGTAGACAATTTTTACATTTTTTTTAAAATTTTATGAATTTTCTTCTTTTTTTTCTTTTATTTTATTTTATTTTTTCTTTTTCCCTTTTTCCCTCTGCTGGCCATTGTTGGGCCTCGTCGATGGCCGGCAAAGGTGAGGACCGCCCGCACTTGGGCTAGCGAGGGCCGCCTTCGACCAATCCGACAAGGGCTGCCCTCGCCTAGGCTATCGAGGGTAGCCCTCCCTAGATCCGACAAGGGCAACCCTCGCCCTTGCCCAATTTGGCATAGGGCCCCCCTCGCCAGGCCAGCGAGCACAGCCCTTGCAAGCCTAGGCCTGGGCATCCCTCACCTGAGGCTGGTTGAGGGAATAAGGGAAAAAGAAAAAAGAAAAGAAGAGAAGGAAAAACCTTTAAAAATTGCAAAAATTATCCACTTCAGCACCGGTCATGCCACATAGGACGGCCGGTGCTAACTAGACCTTCACATCAGCGATTTTTTATCAAAATTGGCAAATCGTTAAAATGTTTATAACTAAATTAGCACAATTTATAGGTTTAGGACTGAATTGACCACCGTATAATAGGTTAGAACTTTTTGGGCAATTTTCTTTATTTGTCACAGAAAAAATATGAAAATACTTTCAAGAAAATTACTGAGTAGAGACTTGGGGACCCAACATGGGCCCCGAGTTCAGGCATTGGGGACTCCTCGTCTAGGCAGCAGAGTTCCTAAAGACTGAGCCGTCGAGGACCCGAGTCCCTCAATTGGGCACCTAGGTCCAGGCACTTGGGACGGACTTGCGGTAGTGGAGCTCAAGTTGTATTCTCTAAAATGATTTCTAATTTCGACAAGGAAAGTTAGTATTTCCAAATATTTTCTGTAGACATCTATAAAAAAAAAATTTGTTAATTCATTTTCTGAAAAAATTCAAACGTCAATAAGGAAAATATTTTCCAACAGTTAACTTTCTACTATATATATATAGAGCCTAAAATACATTCATTTGCCAATCCAAGCTCTCAGTGTGGCGGCAATCATTGCATAAACCATACATAGTAGTACCACTTGGCCTAACTGACATGCTGTAAATAATCATATCGATCAAATATACTAGTTTGCTCCCGATTTTTGAACATGAGATGGCAATAAATACGTTAACAAATACACAATGACGATAATGCAGTGATTCTGTATGCCAAGTTAGCATGTCATATGATATTTTTTCCCCCTCTCACGAATCTCTGAATACATTAAAATTGGTAGGTCAGACAAAAAATTAACCACACATGAGGAAAGTAGCATTGAAGTGCCACTCTCACCTAATATCCACTCCCACTTTCTACTTCAATTTCGAAGATTTTTTTTTCTTTAGTTTCATATGCAATTTTTCCTCATTTTATGCATTTGCTTAAAAACAATATAAGTTTATAGGGATAATGCCACGAAAAACCCAAAACTGGAACACTCATAATAAATTTACCCCAAAACTAATTTTTTGACAACAAAAAATCCTAAACTGGTACACCCGTGACAAATTTACCCTCTGTTAGTTTCCATTAACTTTTACCATCAAATTGCTGAGTTGAATGATACGTGATAGTTGACAGGTGTACCAATTTGGGGCTTTACCCTTCATTTGTCACAGGTGTAACAGTTTATGATTTTTCATGATATTAATCCAATTTAACAAAAACTAATAAAGGATAAATTTGTCAAAAATATACAAGTTTGGGATTTGGTGATCAAAAAATTAGTTTGGGATAAATTTGTCACAGGTGTACCAATTTGTTATTTTTCATGGTCAAAAAATTAATTTGGGATAAATTTATCACAGGTGTACCTGTTTGGGGGTTTTTTGTGGTATTAACCCAAGTTTATATGCACTTAACATTCATTAACACAACAAGATATCATTGCGATGCCCAGTACAAGAATACAACTTGATCTCAACACAAAACTAGCATAGTGGATACATGTTAATTATATATGTGGAAAATATACACATGCATACTTAATTTAACTTTCATCTAATGTACATGTATTGCTAATTTCTTGTAGTGAAATTAAAATAATGAATTCCATGGTAATCGTATTTGTGCCAAAAAATCGCGTCTGCTGATCCTGTGTCAATTTTTTATTTATCAAGTGGTCTATATGTTTTCAAACTTATAACGTAAGAAGGTGGAAATTTTTTTCATGAAAATTAGTTTATTAGCAACATCCCTTACGCAGCAGATTTGAAGTTTTCTGGGTAGAAGATGAGGAATATGGGCAGATTGTAGCGGATTCTTGGAATTCTTTTCAACGAGAGAGAGTAGAATTATCAGTAAGATTGAAAAAGGTGGTTGAAAAGCTAGCTGAATGGAGTAAGAGGAGGCTTACAAATGCAGAAAAAGAAATTTCGGGGCTTAAAAGAGAAATCTAGGAAACACAAATAGCCCAAACTTACACCTCGACAAAAACAGAATGAATTTGCTAAAAACGGAGGGAGAAAGACTGTGGAGACAGGAAGAAGCATATTGAGGAATGCGATTCATGATTAATTGGCTCAAATGGGAGGACAAAAATACAAAGTATTTCCATGCTACTACCGTGCAAAGGAGGCAAATAAATAGATTAGTGATGCTGAAAAATAAGCACAATGAACGGAGCCGTAACCCCACCCAACTGAAGGACACGACAGTCGCTTACTTTAAAGAGCTCTACACCTCAACAGGGCCAAGAGACTTCCAACCCATAATTGATCAGATTCCATGTGTTAAATGACGAGATTAACCAGGCTTCGATTCGGAAAATTACTCTAGAAGAGGTTACCGAAGCAACCTTCCAGTTGGGTGCTTTGAAAGCCCCAGGGCCAGACAATTTGAGTGGAAAATTTTACCAACATCACTGGAAGGACATTCCAGAAGAAGTATATAGGGAAGCTAGGTTATTCTTCAATTCGGGGAATCTCAATCCTGAATTGAACAGAGCCTTCATCACCCTCACTCCTGTAGTTCCTAACCTAGAGAAGTTGGAACGATTTCGACCAATCAGTCTTTGCAACTTTGCCTATAAAGTTATTTCCATAGTCATGGCAAATAGATTAAAACAGTGGCTCCCGGATTTAATAGCAACGGAGCAAAGTGCATTTGTCAGTGGGCGACAAATGCAGGACAATATCTTGATAGTGTAGGAGGTGCTTCATCAGTTACGCATCCGAAAAAGGAGAAAAGTGTCAAAAAAGTCCTAAACCTTTTGTATTTGTGCCAATTTAGTCCTAAATTTTTTTTTGTGCCAATTCAGTCCTAAACCTTTTGCATTTGTGCCAATTTAGTCCTAAACCTTTTTTTGGTGCTAATTCAGTCCTAAACCTTTTGCATTGGTGTTAATTCAGTCCTAAACTTTTTTAATGACTGAATTAGCACTAATGCAAAAGGTTTAGGACTGAATTAGCACCAAAAAAAGGTTTAGGACTGAATTGGCACTAATGCAAAAGATTTAGGACTGAATTGACACAAATGCAAAAGGTTTAGGACTGAATTGGCACCAAAAAAAGGTTTATGACTCAATTTGCACAAATGCAAAACGTTTAGAACTAAATTGGCACCAAAAAAGGGTTTATAACTAAATTGGCATCAATGCAAAAAGTTTATGACTTTTTTGACACTTTTCCCTCTGAAAAAGAAAAAGAAATTTCATGCGGTGCTTAAGTTAGACATGAAGAGAGCGTACAACCAGGTAGAATGAGATTTTCTCAATGCGAGTATGCTTAAAATGGGGTTTTGCGATACTTGGGTCTCCTGGATTATGAAATGTGTCTCCACGGTCTCTTTCGGTATCAAAGTAACTAGGAACCTCTGCCGTTCTTTCAGCCTACTCGTGGTATTAGACAAGGTGAGCCACTCTCTCTCTATCTCTTTCCTCTCTCTCTCTATTATTGTGACTAATGTGTTATCTGTGTTGCTGAAGAGAGAAATGGAGAATGGAAGCGTTAAGGGAATTAAATTGAACCAATTATGCCCATCTTTATCTCACCTACTTTTTGCGGATGACTTGATACTCTTCCTCGAAGGAAAACCGGTAGAATGTCACAATGTGGCTGCAGTCCTTAACCAATATTGTTTCGTGTCAGGACAAGCCATAAACTTGAATAAGTCAGGCATGTTTTTCAGCAAAAACTGCCCAAGTGACTTGAGGAGAAATATGACATACAAAATGAGAGTACCGGAGCTAGAGAGGACATGAAAGTATTCGGAATACCATCTGATTGGGATAGTTCAAAAAAGCAAATGTTCGCTTGGATCCTCGCAAGAGTAAACATGAGACTGGAGGGTTGGAAAGAGAACTTTTTGTCCAAGGCAAGGAAAGAAATTCTCCTCAAAACTGTGGTGCAAGCTCTACTGCAGTATGCAATGTCCATCTTTAAAATTCCTCTATCCATTTGCCATGCCATCGAAAGGAAAATTGCTGCATTTTGGTGGAAAAGCAATGAAAACAGGGCAGGTTTGCACTGGAGAAACTGGGACACTCCTAAAGCAAGAAAGGATGAGGGTGGATTAGGATTTAGAGACCTAATTAAATTCAATGAGGCTATGTTGGGTCGGCAAGTATGGAGCCTAATTCAGAATCCACATTCTCTTTGGAGTCGGGTCCTTAAAGGATTATACTATCCTCACACGAATGTATTACACGCAGAAAAAGGCTACCAACCCTCATGGGGGTGGCAAAGTTTGCTTATGGGCCAAAATGCTATAAACCAATAGATCCAATGGGTGGTTCGAAATGGAGAGAAAATCAGCATAAGAGAAGATCAGTGGTTACCGAGAGATTTGATTGGATGCCTTACGAATGGAGAGAATCCATCTTGGGTATCCGAGTTAATAATCAAAGAGGAAGCTAGATGGAACAAAAACAAAGCGAGAGAGGTGTTCGACGGCGAAATATCCCAGGAGATTCTGGCCATCCCCTTAAACTCTCAGCTCCCAGAAGATAGACTGATATGGAAGCCGACCAAAACAGGAATATTCACAGTTAAGAGCGCTTACAACAACCTTAGGAAACAGGGAGAAACCCATAAACATAATCGAAAATCATCTTTTTTCCAAACTCCCAGAGAATTGTGGAATAGAATTTGGAAGGCAAACTTACAACCCAAAACCATATTTTTTTTTTCTTTGGCATCTTTGCCAAAATGCTCTAGCAACCAAGGAGAACTAATTTCGGAGACGAATTATACCTGAGGCTACTTGCACGATCAGCCATTAGCACCCGGAGTCCATTGAACATCTCTTCCTCTTGTGTCCTTGGACTAAGCAAACCTGGAACGATCCTGCAGTAAACATAAGAAGTGACAATTATGGAGTGACCCGAATAGAGGAACGGCTAGTTAACTTTCAACATACCTCAGTCTCTTTTGAGTTGGTTGACCTGTTACTATGGCAGATGTGGAAATCCCGCAACGGCCTGGTGTATAGAGCTCAGAATGAATCCCTAGCATGTAATCACCTCAGCAATGACCATGGAGAAAAATTTTAGCAGATGGTCAGACAAGAAAAAAGAAGGGAAATTCGCAAATACAAACAGAGATACCTCCGATATGGACTCCCCCTTCCCCCGGTGTGCTCAAAACAAACGTCGATGGGTCTTTTGTTAAAAGAACGGGGGGAAAGGGCCATCGCTTGTGTTTACCGAGACAACCGGGGTAATCTTATCGACGGATTTGCCTGATCGTTGAGAGTTTCATCTGTGATTCAGGCAGAAGCAGCGGCTGTCCTTGAAACCCAAAAGTGTGCTTTGAAGCAAAATCTGAACTGGAGCTGGAGCTGGAGCTGGAGACGACCGAACTAATCTGGTGAAGGCGACAGTTGAGGGCGCAGATCAGGTCAGCTAGGAAGCACACGCGCTTATCACTGAAGCCCAAGCATGTGCACAAACTTTTCGCAATCTAACAATGGCCCATTACAGAAGAGAACGTAACCAAGTTGCAGGTTAGGCCGTCAAGGCCTACCGCAACAAGTTTTTACCGGTTAATTGGATCGCTTATCCCCGTACTTGTCTTTTGAAATTGCTATATTTTGAAGCCCGTACTTTGTCTACTCAAACTTTCACTTGAATGAGAATTGTAGGAATGTTTTTTCGACCAAAAAAAGGAAAAAGCATCCCTCGTGCAAACAATCAATTTTAGACAAGTCATGTCTCGACATTTTTAAAAACATATTACGCACTTGAATATTTGTGTCCACAAGATTAATAGAAATCATTATTTGACTGATACAAACATGGGTTAAAGTCACAAAAAATATTTCAAATTCGGCTTACTGTGACACATTTATCCCAAACTTTTTTGTGAAATTAAAAACTTCAAATTTGTACCCATGTAACATATTTACCCCAAATTTGTACTAATGTGAAATATTTATCCCAAACTTTTTTTTGTGACAAAAAAATTTGAAATTTGTATAAATGTGACACATTTACCCCAAACTTTTTCTAGTAACCCATCTCAACTGCAAAATCCGTAAGCTTCCGCATTTATATTCACGACAACTTTAGTTCTGTACAATCACAGTATAAGTTTCTTGTTAACATATCTTTCCGCATTTTCACGAGAATTAAGTCATAGCTTTCAATTTCTTCGCATTGCAGGTTTACAATGGGGTGTTCATGAACAACGTAATGGGATTAGCCACGTTCTTGGCGCTCGTATACATCAAGGACATAACGTGGGACGTCTCCGCCGTAGTCCTGGTCGTGCTCACAAGCTCCTGCACCAAGTTTCAGTTCTGGACGTGTGTTCTTGCGTATGATCTCTACCCGTTATCCCTTGTGCTTCTTATATCCTCACGGGTGTTGTAGGCTGGTCTTAGGTTCACATTCCGCTGCGCCGTGAAGTGATATACAGCAAGAACGATTTCTGCCATATGCATATCTAGTCGGGTATATATATACAGAAGAGAGATGGAACATTGGTGAAGAGCAGATTGACGTCAAGATGGCATTGTCTTTGTGATTTTGATTCGAATATGTAACTCGTTCATCCCGTTCGGATTGGATAACAAGATGATGTTTAATTCGAAGGAATCTTATGCAAAAGACACAAAACTAGACTATTCGTTTCGGAAATTGCATAGCATCCCATCGTCACCGCGGCTCTCCGGCGAACACCCAGTGGTCTCTCTCTCTCTCTCCCCAAAGCAAGCTTTATATCCAATCTAGTGTCCGTGATGGTAAATCCAAAGGCAATGATGTTGGTAGTGTTGTGACGAGGCTAGAGATTCGACATTAAATATATGGCGAGAGGGAGAGAATATGTGTGAGGGTTAATTTTAAAGGCAAACACCGATGAATATTTCATTGATTGATTGTTTCAAGCGATAAAAGCGATCATTTAAAAAAAAATCAATCTAAGTGGGGCTATAGATAGAATTCAAGATAATTATGTGTGGAGGAGGAAGGGACCGTTTTATGTAGATGACATGTGGATGATACTTGCTAGAAGAATTAATTGTACAAACCGTCTATGTTTACATACCTTTAATGGGCAGCATTGTGTGTTGAAGTTGTGCAATTTCGCCTTTGGTAGTAAAGGGCCAACTCTTGGTTAGAGTTGGTTCAACGGAACGAAGAGTACCACTTACACTACATGAAAAATACCCTAAGGTGACAACATTTTCGCTACTAAAAGGCAAAACATATCCTAAGAAACAAATTCAAAGTTTCATCGCCTTAAGTTTTGAATTTACTGCGAAAAACATGAAATTTCTGTCTCCTTAGGTGAGATTTGAAGTGACAAAATCGGGGTTTTGTCACCTTAGGTTCAGGTCCAAGCGACGAAATTCAGAGTTTTTTCGCTTTTGAGTAGGAAAACTTTCGAATCTACGGTGACAAAAACGAAATTTTATCACCTTAGGGTAGGTCTAAAGAGACAAAATCATTTTTTCTTCGCCTTTGGATATGACCTAAGACAACAAAATTAGTATTTCTTCGCCTTTGGGTATTGACCTAAGGCGATAAAATTAGTGTTTCGTTGCCTTTTGGTAGTGGCCTAAGGCAACATACCTAAAGATCTGTCAGCTTTTGGTCGATCCTAAAGTGCGAAAGTTAGGATCCGTTCGCCTTTGATCGACCATAAAGCAACAAACCTAGAGTGCAATCAAGTCCTTTTGATTGCAATATGCAAAATTGATTATGTGACAACCAGAAATTATCTTTGTGTCGATCTTAAGATTGCACTCCTTAGTAGATGTTTCGCGATTGGACTGCACCTCTTTTTATGGAGTTTTTAGTACTCAGTTGCATCGACACAAAGATTAAGAATTCGACTGACTTAATTACATCATTTGCTAACAAATCTAAGACGCGATTGCAATTCCCAAGAAGATTAATAAAGTAGCAACGCATTTTTGCCCAACATTATATAATTTAGATATCAACGAAATGCAACTTGGAGATGAGACTACGCTGTGATGGGTAGAATAACCCACTCAAGGAGAGTCATGCACGTAGAGATGAGAGGCGTTGGTGAAATATTCCTTGCTATGCCTATTTTGATACATGGTGCTGGGATAATCTCAACGAAAGTTCCAAATTTTTTCTCGGGTCCACGGATCCCAAACTTTTTTTCCGTCTAACCAATAGCCCAAACTTACTATGGCGATCCAAAAATACCTTTTGATAGCCTTCTTAAAAAATACGACACAACAACATTCGTGGACAATACCAAACAGATCTCATGCCGGCTAAAATTCAAGCCAAAGTAACTTATTATCAACGATGTGGTGGTGATGATCCAATCCTACCATAATAATATCTAGTATTGAATTACGTAGTCACGGGTGTTAGAAAATGATATTAATAACTTTATGATTAAATCAGAAATTAGTGAAATATAATGATAATAGAAATATTGCTATGAAATAGACCTAATTATGAAAGCAGGATTGGAATCCTGCCTAAATGGCCAGGTCATGCTCTGTCACTTACCCAAATTTGGCTAAAAATGTGCTGGCCATATCTCTAGGCTGTTGATGCATAATAATGAGCACAATGACAATTATTAACATTTTTTTTAGGATTAAAATCATTTCAATAAATATTGCCATTATCTAATGTTTTTTATTAATAGGAGCTTGGTAGTTGGACCGACCCCCAACTTCTTCTTTTTATTTTCCTTTTTCGTCTTCGCCAGAACAGTCCAACCCACATAATTTCCCTCCTAGCAAATCATCAAATCGAAGTCAAAAGCTAAGTACAATCATTAATTAATTGGCGCGTCATTCGAAAATCAGCAATAGGTAGAAGTGGATGCGAAAAAAAATAAAAAAATAAAAAAATGGAGAAAAGTGGGACAATAAGAAGGTTTAACTATATTAAATATATAGAACAAGGAAAGTGTCAAGCAACGTGGTCCCGTAGCTCAGTTGGTTAGAGCGTTGGTCTTATGAGCCGAAGGTCGCGGGTTCGAGCCCCGCCGGGACCACCTTTCTATCTTTTTCCTCTCTTTGAATTCTCATTGTATATTTCTTTTTCTCTAAGCAGCTTTGCAAGGAGAAAATACATTTATTTATTTTTGTTACAAAAGTGAAGATAGACTACTTCTCCATGTGATTGAATGCATGCCTTCCTTTTTCTAGAGATTTTTTTGTTCTTACGAGCTACCATATGCGTGCTCTTTTCTCGAAGTAATATTTCCCAAAAATTATTTCGTTTCTCGATCAAGTTTAGAAAAAGGAAAATGACACAAATGGTTTCCGCACTTTGGTTCAATATGTAATATGATCCAAGAACTTTTAATTTGTTTAATGTGATCCCTGAACTTTAGCCCGATGTGCAATGTGGTCCACGAACATTTAGTTTGTTCAATGTGGTCCCTGGTACCAATTAGTCCATGAACTATATGAAAATGCTCAATGTTGTCATTCCACTTAATTCAAGTTCAAGGACAACATTGAACATTTTAATATAGTTCAGGGACTAAATTGAATATGTACCAAAATTATAAGGACTATATTTTGAACAAATGAAAAGTTGAGGGACAACATTGTAAATTGGGCTAAAGTTTATGGACCACATTAAATAAATTAAAAGTCCAGCAACTATATCGCACATTGAGCCAAATTTCAGAAATCATCTGTGTCATTATCCCCTTTGCGAACTCTTGTCGAGTGTTGCCAGTGAGTTATGACTCTTTTGGCATTACTCGCGACACGGAAGCTTAAAATAAACGATAGTTTCTCATCAATCTAACTTCGAAATGCCGGGAATGAAATCTATTCTGACATCAACCCGTTTTCTTGATTAGGTCCCTAACAGTCTACACTCGCAAAAAATATCTGCTAGAACAGGCAGTCCAAGTTTAAAGAATTCGTGCGAAAGTTTCATTTTTTTCTTTTAAATGTTCACCAACCCAATCATCATCACCATGCTAATCATTTTCAGCTCCTGCTTGTAGCAGAGTCTGAGTGCTTCGAAAAAGAAATCTGAAATTTCTCACACCAAATTAGAAAGGCGGGCCATCACTGTCAAGCCCCCATTGGTTTGTTCTGCTGTCGCTATACTCATCCCGACCCCTCTGTTTTTTTTTTAGCTTGACTTTGTCACCGCAACCAAACTCTCTCTTACCAAACTGCAGACCCTTTTCGAGTGAGTTGTATTTCGTTGGTTGAGACTTTGATTGAGCCTAAGTATGGTGGACCATGGAGGAGAGGGAGAGAGGGAGAGAGAGCTCCATTCAAGGAAGGGATAGATATATACAAACGTTTTCATCGACCCCATTTGATTAAATGAATTGTCTTTAAAGACAGGAGAGAAATTCTCGGTAGAACTGGAGGTGGACCTTTGCAAACCGGCATTCCACACCCACCTTTTATTCTCTCTCTTCTTCGCTATGACTACCCTTTTCTTCGAGGTTGCTTGAGCTTTACTACTAATACTACCCCCACCCGCAATTCTTTAGGCTGGACCTTTGAGTACCCATTTGTGTGAAAGGAAGAAGAAAAAAGGTGGTCATTGGACTGGACCTCATTGCTGCTGCTGCTCCTGTGGGTATGTCATCATTGTTCATGGAAGCTATGCCCTTTTGCTTTTTGTTCTGTTTCATCCTGTTTTTCCCCTGAATATCTGATGTGGGGTAGGCGTTTCTTGATTTTGGGGGGAGATTGGGATCTGGGCTTGGGGCAGTGAATGATTTGCGAAGCAAATGCTCAGTTCCTTCATCTGGGAATCTAAATATAGTTTCTGCAATTTGCTCGAATGATGGAGCGTTCTACTTCGTTTTGATGTTTTCTATGTGGTCCGCGTTTGTTGAAATGAAATGATGTTGCCGGCATTGTGAAGTGCTGTTCTCTTAGAATTGGATCGACATGGTTTGAGATTAGCGGTCTAGCAGAGTGGTTGATTGAGAGGTGGTTAAATGTTCCTAATTGAGATACAATGACATAATGTTCTGGCTTTCTTAATGAAAAACCACTAGTTATGTATGATGAAAAGTGCAGAAATAGGATCTTGGATTGTTATATGATGCTATTGAGATCAATTGTGATGATATCATGATGTTTATAACTGTTCATTTTTGAATTGATGAAACAAAATCAGAGATTTGTGTATATTGCGTTGTGGTTCTTAATTGTGCGATCTTCCAAGGGGTGTTTCGTGCCAGCAGTCATGTCATGGATCTTTCGTGAAACAGGGTACTTCTCTTCATCCGGGTAAAAGCATTTAACTTATAGATATGGGTTCTGGGGACTGGTTCAAGTCTATAATCAACCTGAAGAAAGTGAAGAACGATGGTTCAAAGAGATCAAAGGTACAAAACAGTCCAGATACTTTATTTGCTTTTTTCTTTTTTATTCCTGTCGCATTTGTATTAAGCGATGGAATCAATCATTTTCACTTCCACCATAGTTGAGTTGGGCATGGTGAGAATGTTTCAAGTTTGTGTAAAAATCTTTCAGCTCTAAATTCTGCCTGTAAAGATTGCATGTTCTCTATTATTAGCTAATCATGAAACATCTCTGTTGAAGTTGTTTTTCCTGAAACTGCGAGAATTTTGCGTGAAGTTTCTAATGACGTAGAAGGATCTATATGCATATGAGAACTATTCATGATTGGGCTCTATCTCATGGACAGTTTTTAGTCTCCTGGTAGTGCGATTTACAGTGACCACTTGAACACGTTGGTCATTTGATGAAATAATCTGCTTTCTGAAAATGTTCTGCCTTTTCTCCTGCTTGTTATTAAATTTTTATCCTTTGGAAGCTTATTGTTCTTCCTTGTAAAAAATCGTTTGTGTAGTCTCTCATTAGACTTGCTCTGATGAGAAACTTGCCATGATTGGTGCCAGCTTCCAGAAGTAAGTAATGGCTAGTTGCTTGATATGTGTTTGGTAGTGTTAATGAGATTCCGCTGTGTCCTATGCTTCTCAGGTTACCATCTGAAAAGGCTTCTAATATGAACTATTCAATGGACATAGAGTAAAACATTATAATAAATTTCTACTTTGGCACTTACCAAGATCATGAAGTCTTGAGTGAATTTTTCTTTCAATTGACTATATTAAACCGTTGGAAAATTATAATTGGTGTAAAAGTTTTTAAAGAAATGTCTACTTCTGTTACTTATGGAGCAAAAATGTGCTCATGGAATAGTAGGGTTAAAGTTGGTTGCGCCTTTCATACTTTTGATGTTGCGTTGCTGCTTGATGTGATGCTTCAAGCCCGGAAAACAGGCATCTTCATCTCCTGGGAAGTCAAATTCCTTCAAGTGGAAGAGCCACTCAAATAAAGAGTCTACAACTTTGGAAAATGGTGCTGCTCCTGGAAAAAGTTCTCTTGGCATGCCCCTTGAGGATAGAGCCGCACTACGAATTCAAACAGCATTCCGGGCATACATGGTACTACATCCACAAAATGCTTCATTCGATTATAATTCTGCCTTTAGGTTCATCCTGTTGATTGGTCACGTTTTAATACTTTCCATGGCTACATAGCTACTAGCTAGATACAGCATCTTGTGAATATGTCTTGCATTAGTGTCAGTGTGTCCAATGGATGTCTATTTTCACTTTCAGCTGACAATTTTGCTGTTCAATTCTGCTATTAATGAATCATCATGGACATAACTTATTTGGTACCTAAGACATAAATTTCCACATTATATCAGGCCCTCAGTGATTGTCTTGCTTAACTCTTTGGAAGATGCGTTTAAATCATTTATTTGACAGAATTGTTTTCATCCTGTTCTAGGCACGGAAAATGTTACGACGTTTGAAAGGGATAGTAAGATTGCAGATCCTGACACAAAACTTTTCGGTCAAAAAGCAAGCAACGACAACACTGGGGTATCTTCATTCCTGGAGCAAAATACAGTCCCAGGTTAGAGATCGCCGTCTTTGTATGGTGACAGAAGGGCGGATAAAACAGAAGAAATTGGAGAACCAGATGAAACTTGAGGCTAAACTCCATGATATTGAGGTAAATTTCATCATCCATATTAATATTTTTTGGACATCGAAAACCTGATTAAGGAAACTTGATTGCATAGGAAGGGATTAATGGCCCCCTGCAGCATATCAAACCCTGCCGGGACAATGGTCCCGTTCTATGCATAAAAGCTCCTGATTAAGGATTCTTGTCTAGTCATATTTTCTGTGTCTGTAGCATAAAAGGCAACTGCAGCACGTGATTATGGATTGTAGTCATGGAAGCCTGCTACTTCAATTTTTGGTAATTGAAATAATTGCACGTTCTCCAGTGCCCATTATGGCTTTACAGCTATATGTCCATGTTTTGCAAGAATGTGTAATGTGTTTGAAATGACTAACAACTGGCATTCTCTTACAACTACATAATAACATGCCTGACAGGTCGACTGGTGTGGTGGCTCTGAAACCATGGAAGAAATTCTTGCAAGGATACATCAGAGAGAAGAAGCAGCAGTTAAACGTGAACGAGCCATGGCATATGCATTTAACCATCAGGTGAGGGATATCACACAACATATGTCAAGATTTATTACTAAGGCTCTATTTAGGATTAAGCACAATATGTAATAAGATTCACCATTCGATGGGATAAGGCTTGGTTTGTTGTTAATTGGTATTGTTTTAGCTTTTGTGGGTGTGATGGCTGGGCTTAGCAATGCAAGATAATTCCTGTCTTCTCAAGGAAAAGGAAATAAATTGAAAAGAAAAAGAAGGTAGTTGAAGGATTCAGTTCTCAGATGATACTGCTAAGGAGTTTATCTTGCTAGCTCACAATTCAGAGGGTGATTATAGTTTCTGAATACGATTCCCGTTGTCCTTACATTGTATAAGTTCATAATTCACAGTGGAGGGCCAACTCTAATACCAATGGCGTGAAGAATTATGAACTTGGAAAAGCGAGTTGGGGTTGGAGCTGGATGGAGCGATGGATTGCTGCTCGCCCATGGGAAAGCCGAGTACCTATTCAGACCATTAGCCCGAAGAAACCACTTAACAAGCAGGGAAGTAATGTCGCTAAAAGCTTGAACCAGCAAACGCCAAAGGCCGTGATTTCACCAATACCACCTCCATCCTCCAACGGGAAGGCAACTACGAAGGCAAGAAGATTGTCTTTCCCAGCAGCCGAAAAGCCTGCCAGTCTGCTTTCAGAAAGTAAATCTGAGGAAGCAAACAATAAGAAAGAATCGACGGTTGCTTAACACAGAGATCATGGGCGGTGTTGATTTCTTTTCCATACTTGAGTTGCAGAGACGGCGAGAGAAAAACCATTTGTTTTGTCATTTATTATTGCTGAAATTATGTGTATAGCTTTTGCTTGTAAATTCTATTGGTGTGAGGATAAAAAGACCGGCCGGATACGTAAGCTTGTCTGTTCATTTTACTGTTGCCTTTTCTGGAATCCTGAATGATGTGATTTATACTGTATTTATGCTGTATATAGATAGTATCTTGATTCCATTTGTCAAAACTGTGGTATGTTGTATTTCTGGATTTGACTTCTCATAGCTCCATGCTTCATCTATTTGCAGTGAAGGCTCTGTTGTTTGTAAGACAGATTTCTGTTTTCTCTGTATCCTGGGTTGGTCTTGTAGTAACACGACCCACATTTTGCGACCTCAAGAAGCTCAGTGCTCAGTACGATGGCTGAAAAATTTCACAAGACCACTTCACCAGTTCACATCTCTCTCCAAATTGTTGTGGGCAAACAAAAACATGACAGTCAAACAAGGAAAGACTCGATATCGAAAGATTGAGAAAATGACACGAATAGTTCTTAAACTTTAACTTAATGTGTAATGTGGTCTCGAAATCTTTATTTTGTTCAATATGGTTCTTGAATTTTAACCCAATCTGTAATGTGGTATATGAACTTTTAATTTGTTCAATATCTTCCCTGAACTTTTGATATACGTTCGATGTAGCTCATCAAAAGTCCATGGAACACATTAAGTAAAGTAAAAGTTCAAGGACTACATTGAATCTAAAATTAAAGTTCATGAACTACATTGAATAAATTAAAAGTTCAGGGACAACATTAGATATTGGGTCAAAGTTCAGTCACCATCTTTGTGTTTATCCCAAAGAAAATGGTCAAAGTTATTACTTTGCAAAATTTGAACACAGCCAAGAAGTTCATGTCTCAGGTTCGTACTTTAGCCAAAAAAACATGGGCCTAATATCCAAAAAAAACCTCAAACTTTAGCTTTTGTTCCATTTCTACCTTTTGTCTCATAAAAAACCTCAAACTTTAGGTCATGTTTCAATTTTACCCTGAACTTTTTTTTGTCCCATAAAAAACCCTCAACTTTAGGTCAGGTCCCAATTCTACTCTAAACTTTTTTTTGTCTCATAAAAAACCAAACAACTTTAGGTTCAGTATCAATTTTACCCTAAACTTTTTTTATCTCATAAAAAAATTTCAACTTTAGGTCAAGTTTCAATTTCACTCTAATTTTTTTTGTTTCATAAAGACCTTCGTTAATCCTCCATCAAAATTGCCCTCAGGATTTTGCGCTTATCGATCTCTTATGCTTGAGAATGTTCCATCTCTCGTGGTCGGAGAGCGCTTGGGACAGTCGAACAGCTCTTGCTTGAGAGATTTCTATCTCTTGGTTGTCAACGAGAAATTTTGGATGGAAGGTTAATAGAATCAGATTTGTGACTGTAAAAATTTTACAGTAAAATTTAGACTGGACGGTAAAATTGGAACAAAACCAAAAGTTGGAGGTTTTTCATGGGGCAAAAAAAAGCTTAGGGTAAAATTGAGCAAGATCTAAAGTGGAGGACAAAAATAAAATTTAGTGTAGAATTGGGACATAACTTAAAATTAGAGGTTTTTTTATGAGACAAAAGATAGAAATGGGACAAAAGCTAAAATACAAGGTTTTTTGAGGTATTGGGCCAAAAAAACATATTTATATCGGGAACAACGTTAAACAAGAACAACAAAGTACAAAACTTTTGCCTTTATTTGACCACAGCAAATGATCTCGGTCCTCAGAAGAATTTCAGCATCGGCATCGACGTCTCCGTTCTTGAAGCTCATGAACAACTCACCACCCCCTCCTCCTTCGCGGAGGCTCGTGGCCTTGGCCCAGCAACTGCGGCTCTACAAGCCCCCGCCCGATTTCGAGGACGCCGAGGAACAGCGGATCGAAGAGACCGCCGGCAAGGTCGTGTCTCAGGTGGGCTTCCCGGAATCGGCGACCCCGATGGCCCGCGACCCGGGAAGGTTCACACCCAAAAGAGCCGCGGTCTTGATCTGCCTCTTCGAAGGCGATGATGGGGAGTTGCGCGTCATCCTCACCAAGAGGTCCTCCGGATTGTCCACCCACTCTGGTTCGTCTCTTTCGATGGTCGTTGTTTGATGTTTCGTTTTCAAGAATTTAGGTTCTTCCTTGCGTATCATTTCGGCTCGTTGTTTGATATTTTGTTTTCAATAATTTAGGTTCTTCCTTTCGTATCATTTCGGGTACGATGACTAATTAGATGGGAGATATCGACTCTTGTTCTTGTTTCAGATGAGAGAAATGGGGAAGAAAGAGGGTCTTTTCTTGCTTTAACTTTAACTCGACGTCACATTTCAAGTGTGCATTTGTAGGTTTCTTGATGATCGGGAAAACGTCGGTTCAATTTTGTCAAGTTGTAGCTGCCTAATTCTAGTCCTAGAATTGGGAAGTTTTGATCTAGTACTTTTAGTGCTGCGGTGAATTTGTTTGTTTCCTAGAAAATTGAGGCTCAGAATGCGATACTAGCAGAATAGTTGGGACTTCAACTTCAACTTCAGTGAATGCAGAAAGTTTAGTCGTGTACTGTGTCAGGTGATTAGGATCTCTGCAGTAGGTATGAGCATGTTAGGGGAGATTGCAAGAGCATGAAGGTGCTGTCCAGTGATCTGAATTGAATGGTGTTCTGGGTTGCAGGTGAAGTATCGTTGCCAGGTGGGAAAGCAGAGGAGGGTGATAAGGATGATGGAGATACGGCGACAAGGGAAGCCAAGGAGGAAATTGGGTTGGATCCTTCCCTTGTCAATGTGGTAACTATACTCGAGCCATTCTTGTCCAAGGTATTAGCATACGTTACTCTCTTTTGTCATTAATATGTTGAACTTCAATTTTCTAGTGTACACAACCTGCGAATACCCTAGCATGTGAGTCACTCAAAATCTTTTCACTCCCATGCGATTAATTGGACAAGTTATGGTGGCCTTTTTCTGTGGATGTCATGTAGATTGATAACATTTAGAAGTATGAACCTGAACTACAAGCTTTATAGCTGACTCCATTCAACCACTTTTAGTGGCAATACATTCTATTATTTCAGCAGTTTCTTCTCAATTAAATTGAAGCATCATTAAACCAGCAATCACCACTTTTCTTAACAGCAGTCTTCAGTGGTCAAACAGAATCTAGATACTGAGAGCACAATCATCAAAAAGAGTGTTTGTTTGATGGTATATACGTAGCTTTCCTTTGTTCTCAATGTTCATTTCTCCAGCCATTCCTATTGTTAGGCTATACATTCTTGACCGGGTTTCTCCAGTACGTTCTGCATATCTGGCATGTACTTCGCCTGTCAACATTTATAGGAAACATGTGAGAAATGAGTCGCAGTTCATTTGGAACAATGAAAGCATGTCCAATTAGAATGCTAGTGAAACCACTTTACAAGAATGGTTCATATTAGCATCTCTTTGAAACTGGGACAGCCCCTCACTGTTATGAATGCAGTCTCTCCTGTTTATTCTGATCTTTTTAGTGCATTGTATGGTGAATGTACACTCGCCTGTTCTTTCTAGAAAGAAATGATTTCATTGGTCCATTTTGTATAGTGGTGGCAATACTTTGTGGGAAGTTCTTCCTTTATACTTTCACTTGACAATTTTCTTGGTAAGGGGCTTAGGACGGGAATGATGTTAGTAGCTCCATTGTTTGTAAACATTTGCATATCCGGTGTCAGCTTCGATTCTTCAAAGTGAAGGACACATATTTGTGTTTGCGTGCTCGTGCTTTTGGAGTGCACGTGCAGGAGAAGGGGGGATGCTGACTCTTGTGTGAGATTGTGGTGTCTTCAATGTATGAGCTTCAGTGGTGTCCATCCATCCTAACAGGGTCTTCTTAGAGCAGAATGATAGAAGAAATTTATTTTCAACCATGCTTTATATGTGCATGGTCGATGATCATTGTTTGCCGTATGTTATTACGGAGTTCACACAATGATTGACTTGTGAAGGGACTTGTCTGATGGGATTTATTTTATATTTATCCAGTTCTCTCCAATTCTTCAACTTTGAAGGAGTATCTACTTGGGATGTTTCGGAAATGAAATTGGACCGAGTCATGTTGTTTGGAATGAAACCTACCAGAATAAACCAAACTATCTTACTGTCTTGTTCCTAGGATGTGCATTGGGAGATTACTATGATTGTGGGGGAAATCATGCTGGTCCTTGGAAGAAATATCGTAAATCAAGTGCACGTGTCTATTCCAATTGTCTTCTTTTGTGGTTCTTCCTCTGGGTTGTTTGTCAATCATCCCCTGGCAAAATGCTTAACTAGAATTCCATTATCAAGAAAGGAAAGTTCTGAAGAGTCTCTCGACCAGTGATTAAGGATGGGCTTGCTCGTACTTTGGAAACCGAACTAGTCATGTCATACTCTCTCGGGCTATAGTGATTCGTCTGTTTTTTCAAAAATAGTTTACATCAGTTCACTTATGTCTTGCCATCATGTGAATTCATGAAATGTTAGCATTCAGTCTTATTTTTGTTTGGATATGTTTGGGTTCAATGACCATTTGATCCTGTGCAGCATCTTTTGAGAGTAATGCCGGTGATAGGCATACTTACTGACAAAAAATCATTTAAGCCCATCCCAAATCCTGCGGAAGTGGAAGCAGTATTTGATGCTCCGTTGGAGATGTTCATCAAGGTACTGCTTCATTTGACACACCATGTGACTCTAGTTATCTCAGTGGAACATGAAGGCCCTCATGATAAGAGCAATGTCTATTTGTTTCAGGATGAAAATCGAAGCGATGAAGAGAGAGAGTGGTTGGGTAATAAATATATCATTCATTTCTTCGACTATAAGGTGGGGAACAAGAAGTATTTGATATGGGGGTTAACGGCAGGGATTTTAATAAGGGCCGCATCAGTGGTATACCAGCGGCCCCCAGCTTTTTTGGAGCAGAATCCAAAGTTTAGAGTTCCTAGAATGGTAAATGAAGATACTGTAATGCCTTAAACCTGGCAAAATTGTTGACATACATATTTAATAAAAGCAAGAATCTTTTACTGCTGGATTGAATATGCTGAAGACAAGTGCTTGGATGTATACTCTGCAGTACTAAAGCATTGCATATCTGTAACTTAATGCATCTGTTTGATGCTCTTAGTGAAGATGTTGATCGGTTTTGCAAAGAAGAAAATAAATTTCAAGCAAAGGTGCGCTGTTTATGATTAGTATCGGACAAATATCTCGGAGCTGACGCATTGACTTCTCTCAGGTCAGTCATTGTCTGATCACTAAAGTTATGACTGTCTTATTCTTCTGATCTGCTATCTGTCTGTGCTACCTTTGTTGATTGGGACTTTGTATTTTCTTTTGGCTAGGTCAGGGAAATAATCTAATATTTGTCGACTATTTCTATTCTGCTCTAGCTTTCCAGGTAAGAACCCGCTTTCTGTTAGCTGTGGATTAATCAGTTGATATAGTTTGAAGCTTGCCTCCACTTGCAGAATTAATTGCTCTTTAGTGGATCATAATTGTATCATTGACGTCAAACCCTGCTCGGCTTGCATAGTTTCTTATTTTTCTTTTATTTTTCACTTTCTGATTATGGAGTCTATTTGCTATTTATGATATGCTAGATGTTTCTCATCGTAGGGGGGTGAAATTAAGAGAGATTTAGTTTCACCTATCGTTTGACATTCGTAGTTCAAGTAAGGTCCTCTGCACTTTTATAGGTTGTGAACTTTGATGTTGACTTGTTATTCCTCATAAGGGCAAGAAAGTAGTGGATGCATTACTGTTTAATGTATTTCCAGCAAAATACTAGATGAATGGAATTTTAACCAAGATGATATTACTTCTCTATTCGATATTATAAGGGTTGATTGCTTTTGTTGCAAGAATAAATAGCCTATGCCATTCTTACTGAGCTTGAGTTCGTTAAAGTAGAGATGCGCTGAACCCGTGAATAGTAGAATGATTTTATGTTGACAGTACTTCTCATCATCCCTTGAAAGATATTCCCTTTGTTATGTATGAGCTAGCAAAAGTCTCTTTGCCAATCAAATCAACCTCCAAGAAGCGACAACAAATTGATATACTGATCCCATGAGACGGTAAATGCGTGTGATACCTTAGTTGTTGAGGATTCGATTTCAATTCAACATCGCGTGCAATAGGGTCAATTTGAAACAGAGTTGAGATTCTGATTCTCTGTTCCTCTTCCTCCATTCTAACAGGTTTGGTTCGTGGATGAAACCAGGCTTTATTTCATGCTTGAAAGTGCCAATCTAGTAACTAAAACAATAAATTGTGAGAATACCATAAGAACGAACCTAGTGAGGACTCTCACAAAGGGCTGCAATTCCAAAATAAGAGAGAATCAAACTGGAGGAACCAATAAGTGATTCATTGATGAAGGAATCGATGTATAAACAGCAGAAGCGGAGAATTAGCTTCAAGGGGCGATTGGGTTCGACACTAACGAATGAATGGGAGAGAATTGAGAGCACAAATCGGGGCAGAGGGTCCTTCCCCTCTATAGCCCATTCCCTGCTAGGCTGCTACAAGTATGGGAGAAACGGACATTGTTTTCTACTATGGGAGGCGTACAATGTTGTTGTGGCGCTAAAGCATCATAGTGATAATGTGGTAAGATGTTTCAAAAGCAAATCGAAGACAGAGAAAAACTAAAGAGAGCGGGGTTGATAAAAATGATAAGAGACGCTAAACAAGATAAATGTCATCTCGCCATCTCTCTATCCGACTTTCCCGCGCCCTTTTTTTGTCTTCTCCAGCTGCTAATCTCATAGAGATCAGGGCGCTGCTGTTAGTGATGTTGAGATATGTCAAGGGTGAGATAATATCTAGAGAGACTAGTTCGAAGCGAGTTCATCTGTGTAGACAACTCAATCGTCTAAGGTGATGCCACGTAGCTTGGTGTGCGTATCGAGCTTTGCCAAGGCGGCGAGTTCGGCAGGCTTGAGAGAGAGAGAGAGAGAGAGAGAGAGAGAGAGAGAGAGAGAGAGAGAGATCATCCTGGAAACGGCGTTGGTGGGATGTGGAGGTTGCCACCTTGGACTAGAGCGGCCACGGTTGCGCACTGTCGATGTTTCTTCTGGTAATTGAATAGTATAGATTGCGATATTGGATAATCATCTGCCTGAAACAAAAACAAAAAGATGATGCATCTACTAAAACCAAATTCAAGGTTTGGTGCATCGAGCAACGACACAATTGATGAAATTTACTCCTTTTTTGGCCGTACTCAGGAAAATTACCAAAATAGTCCTAAACCTATTGTAATTATGCCAATTCAATCTTAAATCTTTTTTTTGTGCCAATTTAGTCCTAAACCTTTTATATTTGTGTCAATTCAGTCCATTCGGCCGTTCGACCTATGCTGATGTGGTAATTTTTAAATATTTTTTTATTCTTTCGATTTTTTTTTCTTTTCTCTTGTTTTTTTTCCCTTTCCTTCTTCCCCTGGCCAGTGGCTGGACCGGCCAGGGGCTAGTGCTGGCGAGGTCGACCTTGCTGATCACTGGTGAGAGGGCGAGCTCGACCTCGCCCAAATCTAGTGAGGTTGAGCCTCACCACGGTTGTGGGCGAGGTCGAGCTTGCCCAACCACGGCGAGCCTCATCAGTGGCCAGCGAGGTCGACCTCGCCAGCCCTAGCTCCTGATTGGTCCGGCCACCGGCTAGGGGAAGAAGGAAAGGGGAAAAAGAGAGAAAGGAAACAAAATAAAAAAGAATTCGAAAAAATTTAAAAATTGCCACGTCAGTGTTGGTCGGACGGCCGGCGTTGGCCGACGTCCACGTTAGCACCGGTAAGCCAAAATTGACCGGATGGACTGAATTGATACAAATACAAAAAGTTTGGGACTGAATTGGCACAATTATAATAGGTTTATAACTGTTTTTGTAATTTTTCCAGCCGTACTCCATCTCTTCATGCGATTACTCGACGATTTGCAGGAATGAACTCGGAGTACCAACTTTCGACGACCCTTGTGGACGAACGTGAATATGAGCCATGCCACACGACGTGCAAATCGTCTTGATGTACGAATTCATTGGTCGGCTACACGAGACAATAACGAGGACACGAATGATCATGCGGAAAGGTCAAAAGGCATATTAGGCCTACCCGCAGTGTTATACACACAAATAGACAAACGACCCAAATTTAGGTAGAATATATAGAATAACGAAGGCATTAATCACTGACGGTTCTTTAACCAATAGAAGAGAGAGTTTGAGCAGAAAAGCTTGTACCGGTATATTTAGGTAGGAATCTCATGACGTTATGCTTAATCTTGGACGATAGACGACAATGCATCTTTACGCATGGTGGGGAAAATGTAAGATTGAGCAGATGAAGATTCAAATAATGTCCTATCCAATGACATTAGCTCCAAGAACAATAGGGACAATGAGTGAGTGAGATCCGCTTTTCTTGTATCGACTTTGATCATATGAAATATGAGAAGGCAAGCATCCTTAGGACTATATATAGGATGTCGTGGCCCTAATTCTCCATCGACACAACCACCTTTCAGTCATCCTTGAAAGAATTAAACATGGCGATGAGCATGTTCAAAACTTGTCTGTGCCTGGTGCTGATATTGCTTTTGCTTCCGAGCTTCCGTGCACGACCTCCCTACGTCGTGATCCGAGGGAAGATAAGCTGTCACGAGCTTATGAGGGCTAGTCCCGGAGGTCCTGATCCGCAACGTCACTTTTTCGTCTCCGTTTGGTTTTCTACAGGTTCCATCTTCTACTATGTCTTTTTTCAATGTAATGCCCTAGTAGGGTATCATAATATCGAGCTGTCCGTGGAGTTTGTGGGCATGGCAATATAGAATACTGCGGACTGTGTTGGCATTTTTCTTTTTCATTTCTTTGTTTTTGGGCTGTTTTTTTTTTGTTGGGTCGGGATGTCTTTGGGCTGTTCAATGTTGACGCTATGTATAGTTGGGCCTCTTTCTTTAAAATCACTAAGGGTGCGTATGGTAGTATTTATGTTTCCAGAAACAATTTTTATTCAGAAATGGTTTTTCTATTTTTATTCGCTAGTCGAGTTTTTGAGCAAAAAAACGTATTTGGTAACTGCAAAAAAAATTTATATTTGGAATAGAAAAAGAATAGAAAAGTGTTTGGTATGACCCTAAAAATTTTGTGACGTGGACTTTTTTTTAGTTTTTTAATAATTTTCTAAAAATTTTTTGCTTCTTTTGATTTTTTTTTCTTTTCTTTTTTTTCTCCCTTCTTTTCCTCCTTTAGCTAGTTGCTGGGCCTCCGCCGAGGCCTGGCGATCGGCTAGAGACGAGGGCCAGCGAGGTCGACCTTGCCTAGCCACCGGTGAGGCTCGATCTCGCCCAACCACTGGACAAAGTCGACCTCACCAAGATCGAGCAAGGTTGAGCCTTGCCCAGCCACTAGGCGAGGGCCGTGAGGTTTCACTCAAGGCGAGAGCCACGAGCTCTCGCCCAGATCTGAGTGAAGGCTGGCGGCCCTCGCCTGCTGCTGCGAGGATAGAAAGCTCTCGACCAGCTCTAAGCGAGGGCTCCAAAGAGCCCTCATTTGCGGCTGGCAGGGGCTAATAGGCCCTTGCCCAGTTGTCGGTGAGGGTCACCAGGCCTCGGCTGGTGGCCCCCTGTCGGCCGTAACAATAAAATAAGTAAAGAAGGAAAAAGAAAATATAAAATATAAAAAATTGAAACAATATTGTAAAAAAATTGTCCACAGTAGCACCGGTCATGCCACGTAGGACGGTTGGCGTTCACGTTAGCGATTTCTGGCCAAAATCGGCTGGATATACTCAATTTGCAAAACATGAAAAAGGTTTTAGGACCCAATTGATACAATTGAAAGATTTAGGACTGAATTGACAAAAGTGCAATAAATTTAGGGCTTCTTGAACAATTTTCGCATATAACTTTTTGGACAATTATCCCAACCACAACGATGTACACAAAGAGGCAACCGACCCAACTTTGACGCTTCTTCAAAAGGTCAAAAACAAAATATATAGAATAAAGTAGGCATTAATCACCGACAGTTCTTTACCCTATAATGAGCAGCGGATCAATCGAACAAGATGATTGCCGCCTTCATTTATTCGCGAATAGCGTCCTAGCGAGCATGAGAATGTTACGAGCCTGTCATGTAATGTT